CCCCTGGTTGGCCCTAGGAGGGCCCCAAGAAGGCCCCAGGAATTATGTACCAATCCAGCGGCCGCTGGTACATAATTCCTGGGGCCCTCTTGGGGCCCTCTGAGGGCCCTCTTGGAACCCTCTTGGGCCCCTGGTTGGCCCTAAGAGGGTCCCAAGAAGGCCCCAGGAATTATGTACCAACCCAGCGGCCGCTGGTACATCACTCTTGGGGCCCTCTTGGGGCCCTCTGAGGGCCCTCTTGGAGCCCTCTTGGGGCCTGGGTTGGCCCTAAGAGGGCCCCAAGAGTGCCCCAAGAGGGCTCCAAGAGGGCCCCAGGAATTATGTACCAACCCAGCGGCCGTTGGTACATAACTCCTGAACCCTCTTGGGGCCCTCTTGGAGCCCTCTTGGGCCCCTTGTTGGCCCACATGATGGCTCCAAGAAGGCCCTAAGAGGGCCCCCAAACGGGCCCAAGAGGGGCCCAAGAGAGGCCTCAGAAACCGCTAGTAGGTGTCATCGATCAGCGCGTCTGGATGAGACCTCTCAGTGGTCTCTGGGGCGCGTCTTGGAGCCCTCTTGGGGCCCTCTGGAGCCCCCTGGGTGCTCCCAAAAAGGTTCCAAGGGACATCCGAAGGGGTGGAGGGGGAGTTGGACGGGGAGTGGAGGGGGAGGTGGAGGGGGGGCTGAGGTGGGTGGTGGAGGGGGGGGTGGAGGGGGGGTGGGGGGGTTGGTGGAGGGGGAAGGGAGAGGGAGAGGGAGAGGGGTTTGATTAGGAAACTGGAAGAGGTTTGACGACCACGACGACGACGACGACGATGACGACGACGACGATGACGGCGACAACCACGATGACGAGTGGGCGCCTTGGAGTTCTCGTGGGCCGTCTTGGAGGCGCCTTGGGGGCCTTTTGGACCGTCTGGAGGCCGTCGTGGGGCCGTCTTGGAGGCCTCTTGGGCGCTCTTGGGGCCATCTTGGGGGTCTCTTCGGCGGCACTGGGCCGTCGGCAGGCCGAAAACGTCAAAATCCATCAAGAGCCCACGGGAAATCAGCTGTCTTGGCCTCTTCGGGCCTTCCTGCAGGTCCCCTTGGAGGCTTCTTGGACTGCATTAAAAGCCTCTTGGGGGCCTTTGGGGCCGTCCTGGGCCATCTTGGGGCCATCTTGGAACGCCTCGGTTGCATCTTGGGCCGTCTTGGAAACATATTGGGGCCGTCTTGGGCTCTCTTGGAGCGATCCTAGCCGCCTTGGAGGCATCTTGGTGGCCATCTTGGGCCATTTGGGCCGTCTTAGTGGCGATGTGGCCACACCTTCTGGTCCTTCCGAGGGCAGGCGGTCTGGGCCGAAGGCCACTGGGAAGGGTTTGAAAATAAGAAGAGCAGCAAAATGTCTGGCACGCCGTCCACCCCTGTGGCAAGCACAGGGGGCGGCGGATCCAAGATGCCTACGGCGAATCACCGCCGCCCCCAGCCTTTTTGAGAAGCGCCTATGTGGCCAAACGTTGGGCCCCAGCTTGGCCAAGCTATCTGATTATGTATTCCCCCAGCCGCTCCGGAAACTCTTCGGGGAACACTTGGGGGAGGCTGAGGGGGAGGATCAGGAGAGGGAGGAGGAAGAGGAGGAGGAGGAGGAGGAGGAGGAGGCCTCTTGGGAGCCTCTTTGGGCACTCTTGTGGGGCCTCCTGGAGAGGCTTCCCGGGGGCCTCTTGGAAGCCTCTTGGGGGCCTCCTTAGGCCTCTTGGGGGCCGTGGGGGCGTCTTGGGGGCCTCTCCTTGGCCGTCTTGAAGCGTTCCTGGCCCGTCTGACGGGTCTGACGCCGTCGGAAGCCATCTTGGGGGCCTCTTTGAACCGATGTGGGGTTCTCTTGAGGCGCTTCAGGGCCGTCTTGGAGGCCATCTTGGGCGTCTTAGAGGCCTCTTGGGGAGGAGGAGGGGGAGGAGGAGGAGGAGGAGGAGGAGGAGGAGGAGGAGGAGGAGGAGGAGGAGGAGGAGGAGGAAGAGGAGGGGGGAGGGGGAGGTGGGAGAGGGGAGGATGGGGAGAGGGGGGGGGTGAGGATGATGATTGAAGGGATGAGATGCCAGTGCAGGGCAGTGGAGGGAGTTGAGTGGTGCGGATGAGGAAGTAGTATGCTGATGGGGCGGAGTAGTGTATGGGAGGGCGGAGCCAAGGAGCATTCAAAGCAGGCGAAGAGGGAGTAGGAAGCGAAATAGGGAGGAGGACCAGGAGAAGGAGGCAGGGGGTAGGAGCGAGGAGACACAGTCGGACAGCGAGAGACAAAGTCGGAGCAACCCCAAACCCCCAGAGTCTGGGGGCGCCCAAGAGTCTGAGCAGCACCTTTTTTTGTGTTGTTTCGTGCCTTTTTCGTGCCTTTTCATGCCTTTTCGTGCCTTTTTCGTGCCTTTTTGTGCCTTTTCGTGCCTTTTCCGTGCCTTTTCGTGCTTCTTCGTTCCTTTTTCGTGCCTTTTCCTGTCTTTTCGTGCCTTGTTCGTGCTTTGTCGTGCCTTTTTTTTGCCCTCCCGTACGTTTTTCGTACCTTTTCGTGCCTCTGTCGTGCGAAGAGCGAAGAGCGATTGCGAAATCGTAAATGTTCTTCGAAGTGCCCGCGCGGCCCGCGCGGACGAACCGTCCTTGGCCGCGGGCGGCTCGCGGGGATCGGGCCGCCCTCGCGGGGGTCGGGTCATGCCCGCAGAAGGCCCAGTTGCCTGCTCATTAGAGCCTTGCCAATTGGAGTGCGAGACCTCACTGTTTGAGGTCAATGCTAGCAAACTTTCTCTTTAGGTTTCTGAAGGCTGTTGGCCTCTTGGGGGGGGTCCGCTGGGGGCTCCAAGATCATTTGAAGCCATCTTGCGGCTCTCTTGGGGCCTCTTGGAGGCATGACGGAGGCCGTCTTGAACCATCCTCGGCTATCGTGAGCAATTTTGGAAGGCATCTTGGAATAGCGGAAGCTCTCTTGGAGCCATGTTGGACAATCTTGGGCGCTCCAGCCCCTCCGTCTGGGACCCGTCCAGACCCATGGGGGGGGTTGGGGAGGAGTAAACCGTGGCCCCCTCCTCGAGGGGGAAGACGCGGCTGTGGAAGCGAGAAGACACAGGCCGTTAGGCCACTGACGCCGAGAGGGCTGGTGGCATTTACGAGTGATCGTGGCCTCGGGAGCGCGAAGGTGGAGATAGGTGGAGCAGATTGCAGAAGATCGTGGCTGGGGAAGCGCGAGATGGGGGCCTTTTGCCAGGGACCGTGGCGTGGGGAGCGCGAGCTTGGCGTAGTTCACCACGGAGAGTGGCGTCGGGGGCGCAAGCTATAGGCAACTTGCTAAGGATTTGGGCCCGGGGACCGCGACACCTGTGCAGGCTAGAAGGGGCTTGTGGCCTCGGGAGCGCCAGCGCGTAGTAATTTACGTATACGAGGCATTATGGTTTCGGGGGCGCAAGGTTGCTGGATTTCACCCAGGAAGCTGTGGCCTCGGGGTTGCTGGACTTCACTTAGGAAGCTGTGGCCTCGGGATTCAGTTTTTTGCTATCATTTACAAGAGGGTGGTGTCTTGCGGAGCGCGAGCCTGGCGTCATGTACTGGGGACTGTGGCCTCGGGAGCGCCAAGGTTGTGGAAGTCGATTACTGGAGAGGAGGCGTGCTGCCAAATCATTTCCAGATGTCTAAAAGATGTTTCAAAGCTGTTTTAACTATGTTTGAAACATGCTTGAATCATTGTTAGAACATGTTTTTTTTTTTTTGTTCAAACACATTTTAAACACATCTTCAATTCGATGATCGGATTGTTAGAGTGTCCACTGTCATGGCACCCACAGCCTTCTGAGAAGGTCTCCGCCTGCTCACTTTCCCGCCTCACTCGCCGCCGAGCAGAAGGCAGACGTGGAGTGCGCGTGGCCGAACAGGGCACGGCCGGTGGCGGGAGGGGGAGGAGCGCGCGGAGGGAGTGAGGAGTACGCTCAGAGCATGCAGTCCTTGTGCGTGATTGCCGAAGCGCGTGCATATCGTGGAGGTGGAGGTCCTGGTATCAGGCGATCGCAAACACGGCATCCACAAGACTCTGGCCTCGGGAGCGCCAAGGCGCAGTTAGGACCTTTTGCTAGCAGGCATGCTGCGAGTAGGAGGAGGAGGAGGAGGAGGAGGAGGAGGAGGAGGAGAGGAAAAAAAAAGAGGAGGAGGAGGCGGAGGAGGAGGAGGAGGAGGAGGAGGAGCTTCTGAAGCAGTGCCTGGCGGGCAGCGAAGCTCACCGAGGCTGCACGGGAAGCCTTGACGCCAGCCTGCATCTGCTGCGGCACCTCGGCGGGTCCAGGTCGTGCCCCGGGACACGACCAGGGGCCCACCGGCCACTCCCACAAGGCTCGCCGGTCGAGGCTCCTCCCTCCCTCCCTCCCCTCCCCTTTTTTTTTTTTCCCTATCCCTCCCTTTCCCTCACTCCCCTCCTCCTCCCTCCCTCCCTCCCTCCCTCCCTTTCCCCTCATCCTCCCTCCCTTCCATTCCTCCCTCCCTCCATCCCTCCCTCTCCCGTCCCTCCTTCCTCCTCCTCCTCCTCCTCCTCCTCCTCCTCATCCTCCTCGAATGCGTTCCCATCGCTGACTTCTGATCGAGCGCGTTCCCGTCGCTGTGCTGGGCTGTGTGCGACGGCTGCCCACAGCCGACCTGGCCCAGGCCCGGCCGGCGACCGCCCCCCCGCAGTGGCCCGTGGGCCGCGCGCCGGCGGCGCGGTGGCGTCGGGGCCGGCATGGCCGCGCGAGCCTCGTCGGCGGCGCTGCGGGACATAGACCCGGCGCGGATTGCGAGGCTGAAGACGTTCTTCGCCCGCGCTTCCGTGGCCACAAGGTTCGGCGGCGAGCCCCCCGGGGGGGGAGGGCGGAGGGGGCGGGCCCTCTCAGAGGGCTCGGAAGGCCTCCGGCCTCCGAGAAGTCTTCGAGGCCTTCTCCGAGGGCAGAGTCGGCTTCGCAGAAGGCGCGAGGGCTTCGAGAAGCCCCGCCGCCTTCTCGGAAGACCTGCCTCCTCTCACTTCCCCCTGGGTTCGCCGCCAAGAGGCTGCTGCAGTCGAGGCTGGCGCTGCCCATCGCCTACCCGTTCAACTCCGCCATGCTGCGGGAGGGCAGCGGTAACGTGGGCGCGCTGAACCCGAAGGACCGTGCGACGAGAGCTGCACGCGCACACGCACACGCACACGCACACGCACACGCACACGCACACGCACACGCACACGCACACGCACACGCACACGCACACGCACGCGCACGCGCACGCGCACACGCACGCGCACCGCGCCACGCGCACGCGCAGCGCACACGCACGGCGCACACGCACGCCGCACACGCACGCGCACGGCACGCGCACGCGCACCGCACGCGCACGCGCACGCGCACGCGCACACCACACGCACACGCACGCGCACGCGCACACGCACACGCACACGGCACACGCACACGTAACAGCACTGCACACGCACCGCACCGCACACGCACCCGCACACGCACACGCACACGCGCACGCACACACAACGCACCACGCACGCGCACGCGCAGGGGTATACGCACACGCCCCCCCCCCCCACACACACACACACACACACACACGCGCACACACACACACACACTAACACACAAACACACACACAAACACTCACCGCGGCACCGATCTTGGCAAGACGCCGATCCTGGGCCCAGGATGGGCCTGTCCAGGGCTGGCGTGTGTGTGTGTGTGTGTGTGTGTGTGCGTGTGTGTGCCTGTTTGTGTGTGTGTGTGTGTGTGTGTGTGTGTCTGTGTCTGTGTCTGTGTCTGTGTGTCTGTGTGTGACGCTGGGCGCGTGGCCGCCGAGGTAGAATCGTGTGTGCGTGTGGCGCCTTCGGCGGCGCACCCGCTGCGACCCCTGCGGTGCTGCGCGCGTGGGCGCCGACTCAAGTGTGTGTGGGCCGGGCTTCCTTTCTTCACGTCGCGCTGGGGTCTCCTCCTCTCCTCACGCGCACTGCGGCCCAATTTGCATCTAGCGCACCCCACTGATGCCCGACCGCCAGAGCAGTAACCTCTGCCCAGCCGCCGACGCAAGAAAGTGTGTTTGTGCGTGCAGCTGGCGCCCTCCCTGGAGGACTGGAAGGACTCCGAGATCCAGCGGGGGCTGGCGCACGTGACGCCGATCGTCACGGGCATGGCGAAGGTCGCGCCGCTGCTGAAGGCGGCGCAGGCGCTCGCACACGTCCGGGGCGGGGGCACGCGGCACGTTGCGCAGGACCCTGCCGAGGCCAGCGAGGAGACCGCTGCCGCCGTTGCTTTTGCTGCTCGTCCGCCTGTGTAGCCCCAGGCTTCGCCAGAGGGGGCCGAGGCTGATTGTCCTACCCGGCAGGTTGGGCTTGTTTTATTATATTTTGTTTAAAGAAGTCCACCTACCCCCCCCCCCCCCCCCACTACCTACCCCCCCCCCGTCCCCTCCCCCTCCCCCCCCCCCCCTACCACCCCTTCCCCCCCCCCCCCCCCCCCCCCTCCCCCTCCCCCCTCCCCCCCTGACCCCCGCCCCCCCCCCCCCCCCCCCCCCCCCCTCCACCCCCCCCCCCCCCCGACCCGTTCCCACCCCCCCACCCCCCCCCCCAGCCCGACCCCACCCCCCTCCCCCCCCCCCCCCCCCCCTCCCCTCCCCGCCCCCGTCTGCCCATCCTTGCCTTCAGCGGTCGCCAGACCCCACAGGATCCCGATGATTTCTGAGTGTCCCGTCTCGCGTCTTCGACGAATGACGACACCATACAGGGGTCGCCAGACCCCGCAGGACCCCGATGGTTCTTGAGTATCCCGCCCCGCGTCTTCGACGAATGATGACACCATACCGCGGTCGCGAGACCCCACAGGATCCCGAGTGTCCCTGAGTGTCCCGCCTCGCGTCCTCGATGAGTGACGACACCCTGCGTACCAGACATCCTCGAAGGGGAGGCGTCACGGCGTCGCGTTGTCCAGGCGTCACGACGCATGACCAAAGAGGGTTGAACAATCGTCGTCGAAGCACGCAGTGGAAGTTCACACATACGTCACAACACCCATATGATGGCAGCACAACGCATGGCATAATACAGCATGGCAGACCCCAATATGATGACCATACCACACCAACACAACATCGCATTGCATTCCATATCATAACATGGTGTACAAGAGCGGAACAACATTCTACTAGATGCAATATTACAACGTCAGATCGCACACCGTCATGTCCCATAACGGGACGTAATATAGTGTATCATACAATACTACACCGTGATATAGCAAACTTGTTATAGTATTGCGACCAATACTGGGATTATTCGAATGTGCAATATCGTGTGTATTGACGCATACAACCATTGTTTTAGCACGCGGCGCCCAAACCAAATCATTCGAGCCGTATCATAACATACGTCCCCGCGCACCAGCGCGTAGGTGTATCTTCCGCTCTGTCCGACGTTTTTAGTCATTTTGGCATTTTGAGCAACGGTTGGGCGCACATGCTGGCCTCTGGGCTGTGCGTCTTCGACGCCGCACGGCGGCGGGCCAGCAACATCTTGCACGGGTGTGGGTTCTTCGGCTCTTGTCTGGCGCTGCATGGGGGCGAGCCCGATTTCGAGTAGAGGCTCGTGCAGGTGGCAGCGGCCGCGGAGTTTAGTGCGGAGGAGACACGGATGTTGCTGCAGGGGTTCGTCGACCAGGCGGTGGACGAGGGGCCGTTGCGGAAGCGGCGGCTACGTCTTAGCCATGCTGGAGAACGCCGTGACGACTCTCATGGCCGCGTGTGTTCAGTAGCAGCGTGAGGCCGTTCCCCCGCCAGGGTCCCGTGCGTTAGCAAGGAACCGCTACGGTGCCGCGCCGCTGACGAGGAGGGTCGCGGCGAGCTGAAGGCCCGAGCTGAGCCCGCTAGAGACCTTGCTTGCCCCAGCTGCTCGACGAGATGGAGGCGCCCTCGCTGGAGGTGGCGCGGTCCTGCGTGGGCCCGGCGCCGGCGTTGCATGGCATCGCGGGCCGCGCACGCTTTGACGCAGTAGGTTCATACGTGCGTGCGGGTGAGACGCTGCGCCGATGGCTCCTGCGTGCGCACAGTCCCGTGGCCGAAGACGGTAGTGCACTTCATCGACTACGTGCGCGCCAGGGCTGCCGAGCCTCGTGGGCCGACGGTTGCCCAATCAGGCCCTCCGTGCCCTGGCCTGGACCGAGCGCGCGGCGGGCTCCCATCCGAACGCCAGTCTATCCGCTCGGCTGGAGGTCGAACAGGTCGTCGCGAGCACGGAAGGGCTCCTCGGCGATGGCAAGGGTTCGACGATGAGGGCAGCTCGACTCGCCAGTGCGTTCATCGGGGCGCTGGACCAGCTGGTCGCGCACGATGGCCTCGTGAAGAACCTGCGCGGGGTGTCGTGGCTTCGCCTCGTCGAGGGTTGGCCGCGCGCTCCGCCCAGACGCTTGCGACCTCCTCGGGAAGGAGGGGCCCCGCGATCTCGCCCGCCCGCGCTGGCGCCGGCATCCTCCAGACCACCTCCTGGCCAGCCGTCGAGGTTTCGGCGCATCGCCAGGCCGGCGTCGTCGCGCCGCGGCCAGATGTAGTCCCTCTTGCAGTCCGCGATTTGAGCGGGGCGCGCGCGGGCTCTCGCCGCCCCGCGACCCATGGCCAGGGGCAAGGGGGGCAAGCCGCCAACGCCCGCGCGCAGCGCCCGCTCGCATTCCCAGGGCGGGAGGACCACGTCTCCGACGTGCTCGCAAACTTTCCTTGCAGGCGCTGCGGGTGCAACTGGCCGGCAGCGAGCAGGCGGGCGGCCTCTTCGAACAGCCCGAGGACCTCGCCTGCTCGGTGGCGGCGACGTCGGCGGCGACGTCGGCGTCGACGGGGGCAACGCCGAGGCCCCGCCGAGCAAGTGGGGGGGCCCCGCCTGGAGCCGATCGGGAGACGCGCGCGCGGCGCAGGACGAGCGCCCAAGGGTGCGAAGGAGGGGGCCCCATGCGAAAATCGGCCCGCCTGGCGGGCGCGGAATCCACGTCGGCGAGAGCGGGGCAACCCCCTCCCCGTCAAGCGCCGCGCAGGAGGGGTGCCGCCGCGGCCTCTGCGCACTGGCGCCCGACGCGGCCAGACCTGATCGAGGCGCTCTCGGAGCCCGACGGCGGCGCCCTCGGGGGCCGCGGCAGCCCGACGGCCGCGCCGACATCTTCACCGCGGCGCGGCGAGCAGAAAAGGAAGGCGCGCCTTCGGGCCCCCCAGGCCAACTCGGAGGCGAGGGGGCGCCGCGCAGCGACGAGTGCATCGAGGGCCCGACAGGGCCTTCCGCGACGGCGCGGGCGCCGCGCGGCGCGTGCAGGGGCCCCCGGACTTGAGGGCCTGGCTCGCCAGGGGGCGCGCGGGCCGCGGGCGGCGGGTCAGCCGCGGAGCGTCCCGGGAAGGCGGCGCGGGCGCGCCTGGCCGGGGCGGGCCCGAACGAGCCGCTTGACCTCGCGAAGTAAGAGGTCTGCGGTGCAGCTAGAGGGGCCCGAATGCGGGCGCGAGCGCGAGCGTTGGCGGGGCTCCGCGCGACCCCTCGGCACGGGGGCCCAGCCCGCGCGACGGCGCGCCTGGCCGCGCGCCTGGGCCAGGGGGCGGCTAACTGGGCCGTCCCAGAGGCGGTCGAGGATAGCGGCGTAGAAGACCGCGGCGACTGGCCCCGTGAACACCTTGCAGGCGCGGTGAAAGCGGGCAAGACCGCCGACAATTTCGAGGGGCAGCTGCGCTGTCGCCTCCATTGCAACTGCTCCTGATGAGTGTCGGTTGTTCTGGAGGGCGCAAACGGCAAGATGCGTCTCGAACGCGTTGGCGAGCGCGCGCGCGTTTGCGGTGAGTAATCGATCCGACGCAGGAGCCGCTGGGGGGGGGGGCGCTGGGGCCAGCGGGGGGGTGGCTGCGTCCGGGGCAACTGCGGGGGCCAGCGCGAGGTTCTCTTCTGGCTCGTCACCGACGCCAGCGGCGCGCACTGGTCATCAAGATCTTCGAGGGCGGGCGCGGCGCAATGACCGTCGAACTCGAGGGCGAGACCCGCGGCAACGCGATCGGAGTGATGGGCCGGGCGGTGTGGCGCCGCGCTGCGAGTGATTCTCCGCTTGCCGGGCGGCGTCTTGCCCGCGGGGCAATTCGCCCGCGCCGATTGCCTAGAGGCGATGGGCTCGAAGGGGCGCGGGGGGCGAGCCGCCCTCGTCGGCGTCGTCCTCGCTGGCGACTTCGGCTCCCCAGGGCGAGGGGGCCAGGGCGCGGGGGTCCTCGAGCGGGTCGGAATCGACCTTCGCTGCGACTCACCGCCTGCGCCGCAGGCCTCGGAGACGAGAGCGGCTTGGTCGGCCGAGCGGCGTCGGAGATGGTCGAGCGCGGCGCCGCCCGCGCAGCGCGACTGCGGCTGGGCGGGGGCGCCCAGGCGTCGCGGAGGCGGCGTCGTCGGGGGAAGGGTTCTGCAGTGGCCCGCGCGAGTTGGCGTCGACGGGCCCGGCGAGAACGGGGCCTCTGGGCAGCGGGCGGCCGAGCTCGCGCCGGCGGGGACTGGCTGGCCACTGGGGGGGGGGGGGGCGCCCCAGAGGGAAGTGGCGCCCGTCAAGTGGAACGCAGGGGGGCTCGCTCGGGCGCGCCCGCGCGCGGGCGGGCGAGCCCGGCGGCGGCCCGCCGAGGGGGGCGCCGGCAGCGGCGGGGCTCTGCTCGACCCGTCGGAGCGGAAGCCGCGCCCGCGCGCTGGCGGGAGAAAGAAACCTTGCAGGGGAGGGCGCTGGCAATGGCGGGTCCCCGCGCGACCTTTCGGGGCGGGGGCCGCGCCCGCGGACTGGCGGGGGCGCCGGCCGCCGCGCGGCCCCGCGAAGGCGGGGCCCCGCCAGCCGCCAGCGAGCGCGCTGGAAGAGAAGGACAATCTCAGCAACGTGAGTGCGCAGGGTGCAACAGGGCCCCCAGGGCCCGCGCGGCGCCCGAGGATCTGCCAAGGGCGTCGGAGGGCGCCTCCGCGCGCCAACGAGTGCACCCCGCTCAACCTCCCGGCGCCTGATGCAATTTGGGGCCAGGCGCTCGGCCGCTCCAAAGCAGCTCGCTCACCGCGCCGGCGCGTCGAGTTCCTGGGGGCGGCGGGGGCTCTCAGCCGGGGCCTCCAGAACCGCCGCCCGAAAAGGGGTGCATCGCCGCTGCCTCCTTCGCCATTTCTCCGCCATAGCGCCACAATCAGGGCCCATCGAAGATATTTCAGCATGCCAAGACTGTTCGCCGACCAGTATCGCTGCGACAGCGCGCATAGCATAACATACCATTCCACAGTGGGGCATCTGACTACCGTTTCATAGTGTACATTCGTATTAGCAAGTGAACAAATAAGTTCATGTAGTTGTGCGCCATATCATAACACTGGACACCAGCGATTACCATGGCATGGCAGAGCGTGAGACATAACGCAGCACTACGTTACCGATCATGTCGTATCAGAACAAAACATATGGTGACCAAGCGGGGCGTAATATCGGACAGCAACACACAACAAACCAGAACCGAACAGACTTTCTGCACGGCATGTACCATTTCGGCGCCGACGATGTTATAACGGGCTCGTGTATGCAATAACCAAGGAAGAACATCATATAATACCATCGCATAGTACAGCGCAATGCAATGGATTACCCGCACGTTGAACAACGTAGCAAACATATGGATCTATTAAAAAATATTATAAACAAGTGTGGGCGCAATTCGATATAATAGATGGACCGTATTTAAGCAGCGGGCGCGGACATCCTAGTAACACATAACATATTTTGCATGCACTGTATTGGAACATCGTGTAATGATACATACGCATGTACGGCATAACATACGTGGAACGCAATTTCAGAATGGTTTTAATTTCAAAATGTTGGAAACACCTCCAAGTATGACATATGAATGCACTACACGAGTACGGCATGATACACTGACCCAGCTAAAACAGGGTATGACACATCAGGACACAACCCAACCTACGATACCATACGTAGATATATGCAACTACAACACCATACATTTATATATATATATATATACTACTGTTGCGTATTGACATGAAACAACGATGTTAAGCCAACGCAGCATAACAGTCCATGTTGTAACGACATGTAATGAAACAAACACAGAACTTAACGTGACGTATCACAAGAAGCCCCAGCAGTCCAGAAACGGACGTTGTTAGCTAAACAAGCAAAGAAAACACCAGCGAACGATGAACGGTGCCCTACCATTCGGGGAGTGCGCGCCGAGGTCAGGGTGGCCACAGGAACAGGAGGCGCAGCAACGACCGTCCGGACGACGCATCAGACGTGACAAACGTCGCGACGTAACGCTGGCCCGTCCAGAACAAGGCAGAAGGCACTATACCATTACAGGATAGAACATATATGCAAATAGTATCTATGATGACGGTAGAATGCAGCAACGACCGATTGAGTGTTCTTTTCGCGTCCAATTTGCGCTCCGACGCAAGGCTGGCCACAGGAAACGAAAACCGTAGATGCATAGAACAGAACAGAAACGAAAAAAACGTGGCAGAGTACAATCCAGCAGCGACCGAGAAAGGGCGTCCTATCCAACGCGACATGCGCGCCGAGGTGAAGCTGGCCAGAGGAACGAACAGCACCGGATTCGGGAACGAACGCCGAAGGTTTCGGTGAGGATCGTTCGAAGCAGAAGCGCAATTGGACCTCTCTCGCCGCCTTTTTCTGGGCCTCCAGGTGGGCGCATCGTCGCCACGGGGCCAGCTCCCCCCTTCCGATTCCACGGCCCCGGTGCGCACTCCAGGGGCAGGTCCGAAGGGTCGGGGGCTCCCAAACGGGGTGGTGACCACACCGTGTGGTGAGTCGGTGGGGATTCGGGGTCACCGCACGGTTTTGGGACCTGGGTCGTTCTCCGAGGATGTTTCGGGCGACTGGAGCCTCCAGGGTCCCAAAACCGTGTGGTGACGGACCGTGCGGTGAGGTCTTTGCGGATTTCGAGATCACCGCCGGGTCTGTCACCACACGGTTTTGGGACACCCAAAAAGGGCGGTTCTGGAGGACAGGGGCCCAGATTTCCATACGTCGCGAACAAAGGCCGGCGCGGTCAGTTGAGCGACGCCAAGCAAACGGAGTCGTCTGCGCCGCCATGTGTCGCGCAAGATGCCCGCGTAGGTTCGCGCGTGAGCGTCCTCGCTTCTAGTGCGGCGTGCCGCGCCTGCGGCCCGCGTAAGCTTCGGCGCAAGGTCGCTATGTCATCTCGCGTAAGACCCGTTTGTGATCGTCGCCGCTAAGCATCAAAACTCAGGAGGAAAAACAAAAAAAACAAAAACACTGACACAATGAATCGTCGATTACTTAGAAATTATGGGAAAATGTGGGAGTGGGCGGGAAGACAAAAAAAAACAGAAACCATGGGATAATATAGGGGAATCCTGTTATTTGTGTCTATTCACTCGCGTGTCCCAGGGCCCCATTCAAAAACATTTTGACCTCTTTCGCCGCCCTTTGAGCCTCCAGGGGGCGCCTGTGGCCTCTGGCTCCCCCCCCGGTTTTGCGGCCAGGGGCGCACCCCGAGGACGGGTCCGGGGGGGGGGGGCGCCTTCTCGTGGAGGGGGGGCGCTTCCTGAGGAGAGGGACGCTTCTCGAGGAGACGGGGCGCTTCTTCAGGAGAGGGGGCGGGCGCTTCCTGATGAGAGGGGGCGCTTCCAGATTCGAGGGACGATTCTTGAGGAGACGGGGCGATTCTCGAGGAGACGGGGGCGCTTCCCGAGGAGAGGGGACGCTTCTCGAGGAGACGTGGGCGCCTTCCCGAGGCGACGGGGGCGCCTCCCGAGGAGAGGGACGCTTCTCGAGGAGACGGGGGCGACTCCTCGAGGAGAGGGGGGCGCTTCTCGAGGAGAGAGATGACCGACGCGCCGCGGCCAGAAGGCCGGCGCGGATCCAGCCGCTGTCTGCACGGCGCTGCGCGGGGGGCCGTGCGGGCCGCGGGCCTGTAAGGGGCCCCGAGGAGAGGAGCCCGCGCGGGCCCCGCGGAGGCCCCCGTCTCCCCCGCCTGCCCCCTCGTCGTGACAGGGGCCTCGGGAAAAGATAGCGAGGAGGAGGAGGAGGAGGAGGATGAGGAGGAGGAGGCGGAGGAGGCGGAGGAGGAGGAGGAGGAGGAGGAGGAGGCGGAGGAGGAGGAGGAGGCGCAGGAGGAGGAGGAGGCGCAGGAGGAGGAGGAGGCGGAGGAGGGAGGTTCGCAGTGCTGGCCGTGCGGGCACACGCGGGGCTGCCCAGCGCGAAGAGGTTCGAGGGTCGGTTGGCACCTCTCCCCCGTCGTGATACAGGCCTCGTCGTGATACAGGCCTCGGAGAAGAGGCCCATCTCCTCGAGTTTCGGTCGCTTTCTTCGATGCGCTCGGCTTTCTCGCGCGCTCGAGCTTCCAACGCTCCAAGACGGCCGAAGGCGCCCCGAAGACCGCCCCAAGGCAGCCGAGGAGGCCCCGAAAAACGCCGGGGGCCTCCAAAGAAGAGGCCCCGGCAGCGCACAAGGGGGGCTCCGGGCCTCCGACGGTCTCCCGAGCGGCCCCGGAGGCGTCCCGGACGGTACCCGAGACGCGGCACGGAGCGCCTGGAATCGGGGGCGGCAAATCAGAGCCCCGAATCATCAGGGGTAACTCGGGTCAGGGCTAACTCGGGTTCGTTTTTCGGGATTCCGAACCCGACTTACCCCGGACCCGACTTACCCCGGATAATTCGGGCGTTCAGAGCCCCGAATCATCAGGGGTAACTCGGGTCAGGGCTAACTCGGGTTGGTTTTTCGGGATTCCGAACCCGACTTACCCCGGACCCGAGTTACCCCGGATAGTTCGGGCGCCCAAGCGAAGAGGGGGGTGATGACGAGGGGGGGGGGGTGGATGCAGGCCTCGGAAAGAAATCGCGAGCACTCGTGCCACGTTCGTCTGTGAACGCCTCCCCCTCCCCCCAATGCTCAGAGTTGGCGGTGGGTCTGACGAGTTGCACCTCGACCGCAGGCTCCCCCGCGCGTGCCAACTTTGAGTTTGGGGGGCAGGGGGGGTGTTCACTAATTGTTTCCCTCTACCGCACAACAACAAAAAAAACACGCATGATGGGAGGTGTGTGGCCGTGATCAGCCTTCGGAAGCTTTCCATCGGCCTCGGGACCGTGAAAAAAGGAACCTGGACGAAGAACCGGTCCTGGGAAGGGGTCCAGGCCTCTGGGGGTCGAGGTGTGAGCAGGTCACGACGTTGAAGTTTGGGGTCGGTCCCCAGGGCGCGACGATCCGCGACGAAAAAGTTTGCCCCGAGCAAGCGCCCGTGTCGTGAGAAAAACACGGCGTCGCAGTTCTGGGTCCTCCCCAGCTTTGCCCTCGTCCTGCTCGCCCTCGTCCTCCCCTGCCTCCTCACCACCCTCTCCCCTGCGAGGAGACGGATATCCGCATCGACCACATGCGCCCCCAGCGCCTCTTCGGGTCGGGCTACGGCCGCGGGCCCGGCACGAAGAACACCAAGACGGGCAAGGCCAGACAGGGCTGGGGAGCTGCGGCGTGTTCGTGCCACCCCGACGCGCGCGGCGGCGCCAGCGCGGGCGTTCGATGTCGGAAGCCCTCTGGTGGCCCATCGAGGGCCCCTTCGAGAGAGGGTGTCAAGGGACTGGAGACCGTCGAGATCGGAGATCGTTTCATGTTGAGCGGTCCACGCCGTTTCAGAAGCCCGGTCCTTGTCACGGCAGGAACCTGCCGTGTTCATTTCAATCCCCTCGCACGTTCTCAGATGTTAAAAGCTCTATGGAGGCCTTGAGAGAGCATGAGCTAATCACAGTTTTTTGTCCGCCAAGCTGCCTTACCCTACAAGGGCTACGGGTGGGACGATGTGTGCAGCGGCACCAACGTGGACTCGCCGATGAACCGCATGACGGTGGACCCATGGGATGACACGCCAGAGCTGCACAGGCTCAAGGGATCAGGGATGAGGGAGGTGCAGAGGAGTGGAGGAGTAGCAGGAGGAGGGGAGGACGATGTAGGAAGAGGAGGAGAGGCCGGAGGATGATTTAGAGCGCGGAGGAGATGAGGGACGATAATGAGGAGGAGGGGGAGGAGGAGAAGGAGGATGGATGATCCGAAAGGAGGGACGTTGAGATGGCTGTCCAGGCTGAAGGGCAGAAAGTTCGTGTCGAAGACCAAGTGGGACAAGAACAAGAGTGGATCGCAATGATGGCCGCCTGCATTCGTCGGAGCGTGGCGGTGGCGGAGGCTCGAAAAGCATCAGCCATCTTGCGACCACGAGGCAGCAATGGGGTAGCTATGCGCAGGGATGCCGATCAGACCTCCCAGGAGGCCGGAGGTGCCGAGCGGAAGCATTGATGGTACATGGTTTTCGAGACATCAGTGATGCAGGTACGGTCCTCCTCTCCTTCTCCCTTCTCAGGGTGCCTATGGACCAATGAAGCAGCAGTGTGGACCAGAGCCTATTCAGCAGCTGTGTGCTTCGCTTGCGCCTTGAAGTGTCGAAGACGCTTACATCGAACCACCGCCGCCCCTTTTCTTTTGGAAACGCCCGTGCGGCCAAACGTTGGCCCAAAGTCTGGCCACGCTATTGGACTATGTGTTCCCCCAGCCGTTCTGGGAGAGAAAGAGAAATTAGGATGAGAAGAAGGAGACGGAGGACGAGGACGAGGATGAGCTTCCTAGGAGCTTCCTACTGTAGGAGCTTCTTGGGGGCCTCTGAGGGGCCTCTTGCAGGCCTCCTTGGGCCTATTATTGGAGCCTCCTCGGGCTGTTTCTGGGGGCCTCTGGGGGTCGCTTTAGGACCGTTTTGGAAGTCATCTCGCCCGATCAGTCTTTGACAGGGATGCGAGCGCGCTTGTAGAACAGGTAACGCACCTGTGTATATTAGTGCTGTTGATCGCGCCCCTTCGGGAAAAATCTGGCAGGCATGGCGAACGATAACTTCATAGGAGACGCATACAAGTTCATCGTGGAGCAAAAACTGACGTGGCTCGAAGCGACGGTTGCGGCCCCGGTGTCCGCGGGCCTCGCGACCTGTGACGTGGAACGGGGACCCGTCCCAGTGGCGCAATCTTACGGACACTCCTCCTGGGAAAGCTGAGGCCGCTTGCAAAGCGCGCGGAAACCGGTTTTCGTTTCTACCTTCGTGGGAAGATGCGGCGCAGCAGCTGCGCCAGAAATGTCAGGGCGGCGACCTCTCAAATGGCAGGTGTGCCCGCCGCTGCCCTGCCAGGTCGCGCGCGTCGAGTTCACGAGTGGGTCGGAGGCGTTGCGTTGTCGGAAAAGTTCGAGACCTGCACGTGAGATTGAAGGTCGTCAATGAAGTACCCCGCATGTCCCGCATTTGAATTGACAACAAAGTGGGGAACTTGGGGCAACGAGGGGGGGTCTCGAAGATCCAGGGGTTTGACAATGCGCGACCATCCTGGCTTCATTGCAGGAGCGCGTCGATAGGCGCGCGGACGAGTTGTACAGACCTTGAGAGCTAAGTCGGCTCCGAGCCTGGAAGGATCCTACCCGGCGCGCAGCATCTCGCGGAAACCATGCGACAATATCCGGAGAGCAACGCGCGATGAATCCGCGTTCGACAAGAGTCAGAGTTCTATGCATGACAGTGCCCCCTCAGCGGAGGACGGCGTTACGAATATGCGACTTTATGTTGTTGTCGGCGAAGCAGAAATCACAGGTGCTTACGTTTCAGAAGATGTGGTTGTCCGTGCTGCTGACAACTTCCTGAACTGAGCGCGCATGTTCCCATGAGCAATGTGTTGCAGGAGCAGTATGTGAACACATGCGTCCCCCAGGAGTTTCCGTGGGCGCCGAACTACGACTGCGGCTGCGCAGAGTTTCCGAAGTTGTTTGGGCATTGGGGCGAGTTGTGTGACCTCGAGCAGAGGATGTTGCAAGTGGGCATCCGGCAACGGGTGCGAAGGATTGAAGACGAGCCGGTGGTAAAGTTTGGCCGCTGCAGTAAGATGCTGTCGACGTGATCAGATACGCAGGTGGCGGGTGATTGGATGCTTGTCCCAGCCGCGCGGAATCTGTACTGGCGCTATGACGCGGTGCGCTCGGCGTTCATTGTTTTATAATCAGACACTGTCCCGCGGAGAAGTGATGAGCCAACATTCCGACAACCTGGTCGTGGCCGCGAAGTCCATCTGGAAGCGTACAGAGTCGAATTGAGGCATCATCAACAATACTAAACCGCCGCACAATGGGTGCATGCGCAAGTTGCTCGCGGCCCATAGCATCGCGCCGCAAGAGATGGTGAGTTCTAGGGCTTATTTGAACAGTGCGTCGAACAAAACTGGTTGCCAGGCGATGCGGCAGAAGATCGGGCACTATTGCTTCGGATGTCACGGCGTCTACGGGAAGGTGGTCTTCGTGAGTGTCGCTCCGAACCGCAGGCGTTCGGACATGATCTCGATTTTTCCAGAGCGTGCAAGAACGACGCATTGCTCTGTGGAGATGGCGAAGTCCCTCGTTCAAGAAAACCGAACTGCTGCCGGCATTTGCCGGCCCGGTTCTGACAGCATTCTGCGCTGGATGGTCCTCGCGGGGAAGAGGAGGCCTTCGAAGTTCCGCTGCATTTTCGCGCGGCAACGCTGGAACGCGCAAGGCCATGTGTCAATTTGCTACCATTACTTATCATCAGTGCATGTAGTATTTCCGGGAATGTTCGGAGTCCGAATGTGGTTGCAGTGCCCCAACTGCAACGTCGATCGCACTGATCGCGCGAGCAGGAAGTTCCTGCTCGCGCATGTCGATCATGTTCCGAACATGATCGACGTGTCGTGCCAGGATTGTGTTGGGCTCGGGCATTAATGAGGCTGCGCGGGGGGGGGGGGCGCGGGCATGGCGTTCCCGATGGAGTGCTGGGGCAAGGCCGCTTCTCGTGGCCATGGATTCGCGAGTCCATGGCCGCTTGTGCACGCTCGCGCCATAGCGGGCGGGTCGGGAAGGCGGACCCAGGCGGCCAGGTTGAGAAGGCGGGTTGCTGAAGCGTGAGTCCTGCATGAGTCGCGCAGAAGTCTCGAGTAATAGCGCGATCCCCAAGGAAATCGCGAGAACGGCCAACGCGAGAACATGATTCCTGAGTGTAGTTGGGGGAGGTAGATTGCGAGGAAGTGACGCGCGAGAGCGCGATTCCTGCATGCATTGTGGGGAAGTCCTGCGCAACAGCGCGATTTTGGAGGCACCTCTCATGTCCCGTCCAGGTTCGGAGCCGAAGTGTGCTTTCCTTCTGGAGTTGTGGGCGCTCGCACGTCGACTGCGGAAATTACGATGTATGCTTACCTGTTGGTGGGGGCGCGGGTAGCTCAAGCTATCGCGAGCGTGAAGATAATGAGTGATTCGGATCTGGCGACCCATGATCCTGCGCCCGTCAAGCTTCACCCTCAGTTGGCGTCCCGCTGCGCCCTCACCTTCAGGAACCCTCCACCGTTTCCGACGGCCCGCCCTCCTGGCCCTCTCTTCCGGCCGTCCAGGGATTTGGGTCTTGTGTCTCGGATGGCCCCCCTAGCCCTCGCTCCTGCTGAGAGAGGTGAAACGGACCAGACTCAGTGCAACTTGGACGTGCTGTATCGAGAAAGGGGCACATCAGTTGAAAAAGGAGCTCGAGGGTGTTTTTAGATTCAGTTTCCAGTCCGCGGCGCCAGAGGACGCCAGGCGCAGCTCCACTGGGTCAATGTTGTCGACGCGTCTCACCGCTCGATGTCTGGGACTTCCCGCGCGCCGAGGGGCGCTGCCAGCTTAAGGTGGCTGTGCTCGCGCTACCGCCTCTGGCTCCAGCTGCGCGGGCCGGCCCCCAGTGCCGAGCGACGCATGTAGCGCCCCCCCCCCCCCCCCCCCGTTTTCCCTGCGGCGGCTTCGGAAAAAAACGATTTCGGAGCGGTGCGGGGGCCAGCGATCGCTCCCGTGCCATTGTTTTTGCACCCGGCTCTGAGGAGCGCAGGCAGCAGCACTTGTTGGAGACGGCGGGCGAGCTGCTCCATCCTCCTTTGATGCTCGGCTCTTGGGACGGCGATGACCTCGCCCTCCTCCAGGCCGTGCAAGATATCATCCCCCCCCTCCATGGGTCCGAGGTTGAGGGGGGGGGGGGGGGGGGGGGGGGGCCCGGCGCGCGCGCGACTTGGTTTCCCAGGCCCTCGCTGCAGCTGAGAGCAAGGCCAGCCAGGAGGACCGCGAGAGCTGGCTGGAGTGGATTCGTCATAACAATGAAAATGGAGCCCGCCATGCTCACGGGGTTGTTCGCCGGGCCGCTGGGTGGACCCCCTCTGCGGCCCTTTCCGCCAAGGGCAACTTGGTGTCGGACCCTGGGGCGTTCTTATCGTCTGAGCTCGAGAAATTTGCGCTGTTCTGGCACGCGCAGCCCTTGCCCGATCCGTGTCGAGTCGGCGATAGACGCGAGCCCCTCGATCCTCTGCCCGAGCTCTCGGTGGACGACCTTCGCCGAGCGGCCCGCTCGTTCCCGGCCCGCGCGGCTTCGTCTGTGGATGGGTTTCACGTTCGATCGTGTCAGCACTCGTCCGATCAAGCCCTGGAGGTTCTGGCGATCATGTTCGCGATGTGGGGGCGATCTGGTTTGCTGCCCGGGCAGATGAAGGCCGTCCTGCTGACCGTGCTTGCCGAGCCCGACGAGGGGCGCCGCCCGGCGGGATCGTTCGTTTTCATTTATCGTTTATGGGCGAGGGCGCGGCGCAGCTTTGCTCAGCAATGGGAGTCCGCCCGCGCCCGAGAGCATTTCTGCGCTGGTGCCCTTGCCTCTGGCGTCGACACGGCGTGGAGGCAGGGGGTTCCGAGCGAGGTCGCGGTTGCTTCCCAGGACTGTTCAGGTTTGGTGCTCTGGGATCTTCAAATTCTACGAGTCCGTGGACCCTGACCTCCTCCTCGCCCGCTGCCGCCAGCACTCGCTCCCGATGCAGATCGCTCGCGTCTGCTACTCGGCCTGCCGTTCCTGCAGATATATGGCCATGAACGGGCGTGTCGAGGGCCCGCAGTTTGCCTGGCGTGGCTTGATAGCTGGCTGTGGATTCGCGACCACGTTCATTCGCGTCTTCTCGCTTGCGGCCTTAGACGGCCATGGCATTCCTAGATCGGTTTCCCTGCGTGTCTATATAGATGACTGTGTTTGTCGTGTAATGGGCGTCCCAGGGCTGTCGTTCAGGACCTTATTGAAGGCACGTTCAAGTTGCAGGCTGCGATCAAGTCCGATCTAGGCTGCGCTTTCTCTGTTAGCAAGGCGGCCGTA